AAGATGTCACCTTGAAGACTAAGGTGTGCCTGATCCAAGCCATGGTGTTTTCAATCACCTCATATGCTTTCGAAAGCTGGACAATGAATAAGGAAGACTGAAGAAGAATTGATGCCTTTGAATTGTGGTGCTGGCGAAGAATATTGACTATATATACCATGGGGTGCCAAAAGAACAAACAAATCTGTCTTGGAAGAAGTACAACCAGAATGCTCCTTAGAAGCACAGTTGGCAAGACTATGTCTCACATACTTTGGATATGTTATCAGGAGGGATCAGCCCCTGGTGGAGGACGTCATGCTTGATAAAGTAGAGGGCCAGCGAAAAAGAGGAAGACCCTCAACAAGATGGACTGACATAGTGGCTGCAACAATGGGCTCAATCATAACAACGACTGTGAGGATGGCACAGGACTGGGCAGTGTTTCGTTCTGTTGCACATAGGGTTGGTATGAGTCGGAACCAACCTGACGGCACCTAACAACAACAACAAGGAGACATGACAATTAAATGCAATATCCAGTATCCTGGATTGGATTGGATCCTGGACCAGAAAGAGAACATTGGTGGGACAATTGGAGAAATGTGAATAAGGTCAAGTGGAGTAGATAATAATATTGTATCGGTGTTAGCTTCCTGATTTTGATGGTTGAACTATGGTTTTGCAAGATGTTAACATTTGTGAATCTGAAGGAAGGATAGTTGAGAATTCTTCATAATAATTCTGAAATTACTTCAGTGAAAAATTAAAATATAAAACAAAATTTGCACTTTAAGACTACAAAAATAATTTCCTATGTTTTGAGCTAGTACTAAATCTATGCAGAATTTATTTTTGTGTAAATTATCTTTTTCTGCCAACCAAAATGAATGAGTAGCCATTTTTTCCAAAACCATTTATTAAAGCACCCATCTTGTCCCACTGTTCTGACAGAGATCTATGAACATATAGGAATTTAGTACATTTTTAATTGCATGCCCACACACATATATACTATCTATTTTAAAATCCCATGGTCTATTCCACTGATAAATTTGTGCCATTATGAGACTATTTAATTCCTTTTGCTTTTTACATTTCAATGACTGGACAAGGAATTAATCTTTTAACATTGTTTTATATCTTCCAAAAAAATATTTCAAGAAGAAATCTAAAAACAGTATGCCAGGTTCCAAAAACCCCCTTCCAGGATTTTGAATGGAATATATTAACTTTATAAAATAATTCTGGGTAAGAGTACCTCTTAAAATAGTAAATCTTGGCTCTGCTTCCAGTAATGGCAAAGTAACTTGTATCAGATTAACCCTCCTACAGGTAACAATGTATATTTAAAACATATTTGATGCCACTGGAAAATGAAAAAAAAATTAGCAGAAGATTCCAAGGAAAAGCAGGAGGTAGATGGCAGAAAAACAGAGCAGAGATTTCAGATGCTGCCTACTACAGGAAGGTGAAAGTTTGAAGCCTAAGTCTAGTCAAGTTAAAGGCTTCCTAGTATAAAAATCAGCACTCTTCAGATAAAGATAACAGAATCCAGGGTCTCTACAGTTTATCATTATCTAATGTGCAATAAAAAAAATTATTGGACATAAGAAAAACAGAAAAGTATGAGATATAGTCAAGAGAAAAAGGAGTCAATAGAAAACTACCCCAAGATGACCCATATCTTGGGTTGAGAACTTTAAAGTAGCTATTATAAATAAGTTCAAGGACTTAAAGGAAAATGTGGTAATAATGAATAAACATAATGGGAATTTTGGCAGAGAAGTGGAAACTATAAAAAAGAAACAATGAAAATTCTGGAAGGGAAAAGTATAATATTTGAAGTTTCAAAATTCATCAGATGGGCTTAACAGCACATTGAAATGGTCAAAACAAAGGATCAGTGACCTTGATATGAGATCAACAGAAATTATCCAATTTTTTTTTTTTTTTAAATAAACAGTGTCTCAACAACCTATGCAACAAAACCAGGCAAACTAACATGTGTAATTGGAATCCCATTGTGCTGGAGGTCCTAGCCACAGCAATTAGGCCAGAAAAAGAAAAAAAGGGCATCCAAATTCGTAAGGAAGAAGTAAAAGTATCTATATTTGCAGATGATATGATCTTATACACAGAAAACCCCAAAGAATCCATAAGAAAACTACTGCAACTAATAGAAGATTTTAGCAAAGTTTCAGGATACAAGATAAACATACAAAAATCAGTTGGATTC